ATTTTCACAGAAGCAATGTTAATACTTAAATCATCTTATTTTTACACTTACTTTGGAATCACAATTTCCTCTTTGATTTCAAGCTTGCCTGAAGTAGAAGCTTCTCCTTCAGAATTGGATGCTTTGCACATATATTCACCATCATCATCAGGATGAGAATCATGAATAAAAAGACTATGTTTTCTGCCATCTGTTTCAATGGAATAATGATCAGTAGCCTAAAATAAAAATATAACATTTTATTACAAAAGAGAAACACTTTAGCTTTATTTCACATATAATCATTATAAACAATTACATAAAAGCAAAATTAACAGTTAATAATATAATATGGATGTTGTAAAATATGTAGCGAAAATAAATAAATTTTTTAAAATGATATAATAAAAAATATTTTCAAAAACTTTCTCAGTATGAGTATAGATTATAAAATGATTGGTGTTTTGTGAAATGAGTTTATGGCAAAATGTATTTCAAGCAAAATATTTATAATGGTTTCATAAAAAACATATTAGATAGTCAGAGACAATATAAAGATTCTTCTTCCATTTCAGAACGCAATACCAAATAAGATTTAATATTTTATCTAGTATAACATTAATAAGGACATTATTGTAAATTTATAGAAAGCAATTGTACATAAGTTTAGCTTTATGCATAAATAGTAGATGGGTATCCTCAAATACGAGTGGCCAGCTATACTATACTATGTATAAATAGATCATCTTGCAATGATTGCTTTCTTTCCAACTATTGTAGAAGGCATTGTAGTCAATACTGGGAAATATTAATATTTTATATAGAAGATCAATAGAATGTATTTAGCATCTTTTAGTATTTTGCTAACATTTTCCACTAATATGAAGTGGAAAGATTATATGGAATCAATTTCTATGTCTGTTGCTAGTTTATTGTGTCATGATAGACAATTTTTCTCACCAGAATCTACCTTACACATTCAGTCATGCATTGAATATTGCAGCCACATCTGCTCTGGTGCTTCTGCTATGTATTTAAAGATTCTTGATAAAATCCAAAAAAGAATCTGTAATGTTATTGGTCCTAACCTGACATTTGGCTTCAGTCCCTTTCCCCCTACCGTAATGTAGCTTTCCTGTGGCTTTACTATACATATTTTCATGGCAATTGTTCTGATAAGATTTCCTCTTTGGTACCTTGACTTTATGAATTTAAGCATAGTGCAACATTGACAGTAAGGTCTCACCATTCTACACTTGAATTGGCTAGTTGTAACCACAATTTTGCTTGTGGAACTCTTCCAGTTTCTTTCCAGCCAACATTGAACTTTAAAAATTTAAATATAAAGTCAATCATTATCTTCTGTAATTTTTAATTCCTGTTTTGTTTTATTGTTCCCTCTACTTAATCAAGTTTTTCTTTTTCTCATATTCTTTCATACATAGTAACCCTGTGTGGCTTAGTGGCTTTATTGCCTTGTTTGGGGTGAAATGATTATAAAACCAAAATAAGAAATGCTATATTAAAATGCTTTTTCCCCCTGAACTTACCTTGATGGGTTTTCCATTATAGAACCATTCAATGTTTGGTTTGGGCTCTCCAACAGTGGTACACTCAAAGCAAACATTACGGCCTTTACGGATGGTAATGTCATCCAGTTTACGTATGAACTTCGGTGCAGTCAGAACTGGGCCTTCTTTGGGACGTTCTGGCTTCACTGTAATTTTGGCAGTGCAGGAAGCTTCACCAAGTGGATTGCTGATACGACATGTATATATACCTCCATCAGCAAGAGAAAGTTTTGAAATTTTCAGGGAACACTTGTCTCCATCCTTTTTGATAATGAAATCTTCAGTTGGTCCAACTTCATAGTCATTTGCCATCCATAACACATATGGTTCAGGATAACCAGAAATCTTGCAACTAAGTTCAGCACTTTTACCTTCTGAAGAGACGATATCATCAAATGGTTTAATGAACTGTGGTGGTTTTTGTTCTTTGCCTAAATCAACTGAATCCAGTGCTGAAAAAAAAAAAAATATATATATATATATATGTATACACATACATAAGCATTAATTAAAAAAATGATTATATAAACAACAAATAAATAAATAAAAATGAATACACCTATATTTTGAAAAACTTTAGAAAACCCTTGAATATTCTGGGATATTAACCTAATTTTAATTTAGCTCTGAACCCCAAAATAACTTTGTTACATTATCTTTTGACACTCAGAGCCAAAAGATAAAGAAAAGGAATAATAAGAGGGTATAAAGAGACAAGTAAATTAAGAAAAGATGAAATAACTACAACATCCTACACATGTGCAGATGTACAGACATATGCGCACACACACACACACACACACATATATATGTATATATATATTTGTTTATTTAGACAGCAAGTTCTCTTTTAGGCATGTCTAATTGAATAAATTACAAACATTATGTCTGCTTATTTTTATCATAATCCTTTCATATTCACAAATATTTTTCCATATATTACAATTGAATAAAGCAAGAAATGGACTGTAACAGTGAGAATCACTTTTATTTAACCAAGTACTTGAAATAAAGTCAGAAAGTACTTGGGAAATAAAAGTGATTCTCACTGTTACAGTGCATTCCTTGCTATTACTGTAAACTCCCTTCATTCTCCTCAGTAATGTTTACTGTGTTAAAAAATGATGATTAGGAATTTTAATAAAACCCAAACATATAAAAGTATATATATATATATATATATATATATATATATAGAGAGAGAGAGAGAGAGAGAGAGAGAGAGATATTTGGTTTGCAGCTCTGAAAGATTGAAGGCTATTTTTATAGCTTTCATGAAATAAAGATTATTACCTATGGGATTTTAAGTGTTTGACATTCATTAACTAATAATATATATATATATATATATATATATATATATATATATATATAATTATTGTTGACCTAAAATTAAAACAAAATTTCCAATACCTAGATAGTAAAATATCTGAAAAGCTAATAAAAATATTAGTAATGTTTAACCTTCATGCCCGCAAAAAAAAGAATGTGTCAAAAGTTCTGTTATTTCCTTTGACACTGCTATTACTGTAAACTCCATTCATTCTCCTCGGTAATGTTTACTGTGTTAAAAAGTAATGATTATGAATTTTAATAAAACCCAAACATATAAAAGTGGATTTATACATTTTCTTTATTCTTGAGAACTAACAAAGATATTAAACACTATATATAAGATTGCTTATTGACAAGATTATAAAAATATATGAAACATCTATACTGAATTGTTTACAATTTTATAAAGAAATAAATATGAAAACAATTTTTAATATTCATAAATTTATATAAATGTCTGAGAACAAAAAAATTTAAATTACATAACAACAAACTGCAATTATCAATTTTGAAAAAATGTATTTTCCAAGCATTTCTTTGATTTGTGCTCACTACATAAATTAACTGAAACAGCTTTCATAGTTATTTATAAAATGGTAAATAATAAATATTGCATTGTAGCTGGTTTATTTTGATAATTTTTAATTTTTTTATAAATTTTTGAATAAAAATATTTCTTTTCAAATTTATTTCTTTATAAAATATTAAATAATAAATATTTATGAAAGGTAAACAATAAATATCACATTGTATTTGGCTCACATAAATCTTGTAAATAAATGTTGTCAAGTGAGTCAAAAAAAAGCATCCAGTAAAAATGGTGTCAAAGGAATAACCATTATTTTGACACACCTTTTTGATGGTACTGAGGTTGAACATTGCCAAAATATTTATAATCATAAGAATTTTCACAGTATAATCCTTACTGTTACTGAAAATATTTTTTTCATAAAGTTTATATTCTTGGTACAGCATTTGTTAAAAAAAAAAAATGAAAATTAATTTTACACTATGTAATTATGAACAATGATCTAAAAATGTATTGGGTTTCCGGTTCCTTCTAAAGTGTTTTCTTTCTCTTTCACTACCAGTAGCCCCCTTGCGTCTTAGTGGCATTATCGCCTTGCTTGGAGTGAAATGATTAAAAAAAGAAAAAAAAAAAAGTGACGAAAATATTTTCTCATGATTTCTAAAGGTAACACGTGAGTATATCCAAGGGAGTTAACTTGGATAGAGATAATATAGAGGAAGAATTATTTCCCTTACATTTGACATCGCGTAATAATTGGACTAAAGATTTACCTACGTTTTTTATATAGTTAATAATATCACCAAAAATGATGAGACCTAGAATAACATTTTTTTTTTATTATTATTTCCCATACTAGGCATCCCTCAGAAAGAGAATAAATACTATGCTTTGATTCCAGCTCAAAAACCGCGAAGTGCAGCAGGACAGAGCCTCTTGATATTGAAAAATGTTGTTCTTATATATACCTATAGCAACAACAGAACAGTTATGATTCATTGATAACCAAGTGTCACCACTCTCATTCAAATTAGCACAACAATTGCCATAATAAATTTAGCAGTGATGCTATCTATGTTAAAAGACTCCCTTACCAATCAATTATTCAAGAGAACAAATCTATTACCTACACTAGACAAACTAGTCCAGTTCTTATTTGTCACGTTGGTTTGGTTCTCTTCTGCATTTTCGTATTGCAATATTTATTTACCAGCTTCACTTGTCATTAAAATCATAACTAAAATATACATTTTCCCTTTTTGCCTAATAAAAAAAAAATAATGATTGCAATTATAGTGGATTTATTACCATCAGAAATTGGTTAATTGATTGTTTTTTACGGCTTATCAACCTTTTGAAGGTTATTTAAAGCCAGAAATTATTTTTAGATTGTAAGAAATTTTTAAGATATTAAGGTTTTTACTGCTAGAAGTCCCACTAATTAACCCTTTATTTGTGGGGAGATAAGATGGATTCATACCGTGTCCAAGAGTATTTGCATATAAGTGAAACTGACTGGAATTTGAACTCAGCTCTTCAATTTTCAATTCCAGACCATTGTCTATTAACCCACTCACACATCCAAGCTTACAGCACCTGGTATTCCCAAGCAATCACCCATCTAGGTACTGACCAAGCATGACATTGCTTAACTTCAGTGATCGTATGAGAACCAGTGTTTCAACGTAACATGGCTGTAAACCCAGAAATTGGTATAAATCCACTTTAAATATAAATATAAGCAGTTTTATTAGTAATTAAAAGATTATATGCTGGCGTCCTAAGAAGTCTTTTTCCTTAATCAAGAAGCCCTTTCCAAAATATTTACTGTTTTGTCATTAAGTCAAACCCCATTTCAGCACCCCCACATCAATAAATACTTACGGATAACATTAAGATAAGCTTCAGTGTAAGCCTCGCCATGTTCATTCTTTGCCCAACAAATATAACGACCAATATCTGAAAGTTTTGTAGCCTGGATCATGAGGGAGTAAATATCATCATTGATATTTGTCAGTTGTAGACGCCCTTCTCCTGTAATTGCTTGCCCATCTCGCATCCTGTGTTTGAAAAGTATGGAGAAAGATTTGGATAAATATTTGATACAAATATTTCATCAATCAAGAATTTTCAAATCAATTTAACACAACAAAAAAATTTCAGTAAAAATATTTTATAACAAATCTTAATGTATATGTAGAGATAATAAGGAGAAAGTGGAATAGCTATTCAGCTACGTATTTCACTCCTTATAGTAGGCATTTTCAGGTTGGAATAAGAAACAAAGCCAGGTGTGTAAAATGGATGTTGGAATATGAACAAGAGGTAATAAAAATTCTTATGAGATGTTGCAGCTGGAGAATTGGTGTTTTGCATCATACTGAAGCCACTAACATTGGCTCGATTTAAAATTTAGTTTACACCAAGCAGAGTTGTATTTCTTAGTTTGTATATTGCATTTTACAATGGTTAATGATACTGTACAGGGGCCCAGTTTGAGGTTAACAGTAGAGAATTGTCAGATCAGTACACTCTCAATGCTTATCCTTCATAGTAAATTCTTTTCTCTTTTAATCAAATTAACAGTTTTTAGATTAAAATTATGGTTTGTTTTTTTTTTTTCTTTTTTTTATGGCATATCAACCTCACTGGGTAATTTAATGCTGACAAGATTTTTTTTATTGCTGGTAATATTTTTCCAAAAATGTATTACTGGTAATATTTTTCTTTTTCAAACAAAATATTACTGGTATTAAAACCTATTTTTATACTTTCATAGTGTTTTGACACCTTTTGGGGGGTTAACTATTTTCCCATAGATGGGACACTAACTGGATCTAGAAACACCAGCAATTAAGAGGTGGTTCCATGCTCCTCAAAACCTCCTGATCAAAGGCCTTACTGTCAAATGTAGTTTATCGTATTATTCAGGATGCTTGAAATTATGGTCAGATATGCTAATATTATTAATATACATATAAACCTTCATTTTATCCAATTTTATTTTGCTTCTTTTTATTTGTATATTATTTAATCTCTTTTTCCATAAACATCAAGCAACAGTGTGATTTAATAACATTTTCATAATAGACTATACTAAATGAATAAAAATGTATGCCAGTTAAGGGATTAAAAATATTATGTAGCTTTAAGTAAAAAGAGAGCATGTCAGTCAATTAAAACAGAAATAAAGATGAATATAGTATTAAAAAAGTGAAAACGTATTTTTATAACTAAAATATTATTGATTTTTGAATGAGTATATAATCAATCCATAGAATTAATAGTGTGTGGTGAAAATACCTTCCAGATATACCTCCCACATAATGGCAACACATTAGTTAGATGAATACACTATTGCCACTAATGTCTTCTCATTATGTGATAGGAATTTTAGGGAGCTATTTTTGCCACACTTTGTATTATTAAATTTTGTCTTTAGTTTGACTGAAATTTTCTTTTTTAAATTTAGATATTTGACGTATGATTGCTTAAATTTTGATTTCATATTGACAAACAAATTACTTGATTATTTTTTTTTGCAAGATTACAAAAGCCTGAAAAATAATTTAAAATTAACTCGACATTACTTAAAATCTAAAGGAAATTAGAATTGATCACTTACCAGGTGATTTCTGGAGGTGGATAAGCAACAATACGACACTCAAACTTTGCCATCTGTCCTTCTTCAACAAGACAGTCATCCATTTTCATGATGTACTGAGGACGCTCTCCTTTCCTGACAGGTGCTTCTTCAGTAGGAGCAGAAACAGAGGCAACATCCTCAGTTACAGGAGTTTCTTTAGGTTTCTCTACTTCCTTTGGCTTTCCAGCTGCTTTAGATTCCTCTGTGACCGAAATTTCAGGTACTTTGGGAGCATCCTTAGTTTTGGGAGAGGGCTTCTCTTCAGGAATTTCTAAAGAAATACATATATAAATTTTATACTAATACAAGACTTAAAATTACAAAGAACTTTTAAAATGTTTTTAGAATGAAATAGCTACATAAATAAAATATATATTCGTAATCCTTATCTCTTTTCTATAAATATTTTCATGACAATTGTTCACATGAGCTTTCCACCTTGGTTCCTCGACTGCATTTATTTAAGTGTACTACTAAATTCTCACTGTTTTACTGTTGGACTAGTTAGATGCAACTTTAATTTCTATTCTAATAGGTCCTTTTCTCGCACTTCTCGCCTGTGGAACTCTCTTCTGGTTTCTTACTTGACTATCACTTACAATCTTCAAAACTTTAAATGCAACATCAATCGCCATCTTCTGTCTTCCTGAATCCAGGTCTTTTGTTGTTCTTTCTTCTCACTAATGTCTTCTCATTCTCTTTCACTTCTAGTAATCTCCCGCATCTTAGTGGCATTACTTCTTCACTTGGGGTGAAATGAGTAGAAAAAGAAATTCACATATGCTTCTTAATACATCTGGTTTTGCAATTTCAGCTTACCTAATAAATTATCTGACTTATGACTTGTCTTTTACCTTTTCACAGTAGTCAATAGAACACATATGGATTACCATTTGAAAGTGCCTGATACCCTATATATTAAGTCTAAGCAACCTCCCCTCTGTATTGATGACTAGTTTTTATAGCTTATCACTTTGTGGGTTATTTAAAGCCAAAACATATTTTGAACTGTAAGAGTTATTTTTATATTTTTCTTTTGTTTTACAAGTGAATATTGCATAAGCAACTTTGGGAAAAATAATGATATTTTTCAGATACAAGTCCCACTATTTAACCTGTAGGTGGAGGAAGGAGATTGATTCATACCTTTCTCAAGGGTATTTGCACATAAGTGAACATAACAAACCTAACCAGAATTCAAACTCAGCTCTCCAACCTACAATTCCAAGCCACTATCTATTACACAACTCAAAAATCCACCCTTCCCTCTGTAAGGAATGGATACTAGATCTAAACATAATCTGTGATTTATATTGTTGATTCTGTCATAGTATTTTTTTTTCTTTTCACTTGTTGTGCACGTACGTTTTCTCTTTAATTGAGCTCTAAAGAGCAAGAAATGATAGCCCTTTTTTAATCATTCCACCTCAAGCAAAGCAATAAAGCCACTAAGATCCAAGGGGTTACTGAGTGTAAGAGAATATGAAAAAAATAAAACATTATTAATGAAAGAGAACAATATAAGAACACCAATTAAAAAGACCAAAGTAATGATTGACATTGCATTTAAATTTACTGAAGATCAAAACTGATTGGAAAGCAAGAGGAGGGAAGAGAGTTCCACAAGCGAGAAGGGTGAGAGAAGAAACTGTCAGTATAGAACTTACATCTCATCATTTCAACCATAAAATGATGAGATCTTGCTGCCAATCTAGTATTGCACTTAAATTCATAAAGTCTGTCACCAAAGAGGAAAGTTCATCAGAACAATTATCATGAAAATATTTATAAAAAAAGGCACAGGGAAACTATGTTACAGCAGTGAGAAAGTGACTGAAGCTGAGTTGTTAGGTCAGGACCAATAACATTGCACATTTTTATTTGCAGAAGCACCAAGCCAGATGTGACAGCAATATTCAATGCATACATAAATAACAGACTTATAATTATGTAAGATAGATTCTGGTGAGAAAAATTGTCTAGCACAACACAGTGAACCAACTTTCCTAGCAGCAGACCTCTAGCAATTGATTCAATATAATATTTTTCTATTTTATGTCAGCAGAAAACATTAGCCTGAGAAAACACGAGTCACTCTCCTTGAGGTTAGCATCTTTTAAGTTTTTATATTTAAAAATATAATTGTTTCTTTTTTGTTATATTTTTCAGTTCACCCCTTCATAGTGAGTACTACTTTTTATCCATACTCTTCCTGTCACCTGTATCCTCTGTCTGTGTTTGTTATGGAACTCCTCCTTGGGTTTCCTCCATAACCATGTATATTCTGAACCTACATTACCCAGGGTACTTGGATAAGTATATTTTATTTTGATCAAATGGAGCCCATACTCTCCATTGAAAATTATTTCTCTTTGATTTAAATTAAAATTAAATTTGAACAAGGGAATGACTCCTAAGGTACTTGGATAAGTATGTTTCATTTTGATCAACAGGGATCCCTGGGGGGCACAAACCCCCCACTGAAAATTTTGTCCCCCCCTTTGATTTAAATTAGATTTAAATTTGAACAAGGGAATGACTCCTATCCAAAATATAAAAGGAGAAAGCCAGAAGGTGAAGGTCACATCAGCAAGATCAAAATGAAACAATATGGATGTCAAGTTGAGCAAGAAATCACCAATCAGTGGGTAGTGCCTTACAATACATATTTGTTGTGACAATTCAACTGCTATATCTCTGTTGAAACCAGCTCATCAATTCATTCAATCAAGTATTGCATCAAATATATATCAAAGGTGTCAGATCAAGCTGTTTTTGTACAAACCACCCACTGAAAGGTTTTTGCCTTTTGATTTAAATTAAATTTAAAACAAGGGAATGACTCCTATCCAAAATATAGGAGGAGGAGGAGGAGGCCAAAATACAGAGGACACGTGGGCAAAATCATTGAGTAATATTGAAATGCATTATTTTTCTCCACAAATTATAACCATGATTTGAAATCATTCATCATTTTCTCATGCAAAAAATGTGTGACACACAACAAGGTATGGGTAATTTAGTGTATATATATATATATATATATATAT